TGTTTATGCCCGTTCTCTCCTCTAGGTCAACTCGATGACGATAAACGCGAGCTATGAGCAATGTGAAGACGGCTTTAAACGAGAGAGGAAAGACGGATGGTATACATGAGGTGCGTATCTCTTCCATTTGTTACGCAATGACTCCGTCGCTCCGATGTTCCCAACAGGTTAGTTGCTCAAGGGTATTGATAAGGATTAGTCCCTGGAGATCCGTAAGGCCGCTGAGATACTTCATAACCCTGCAAAGGTTCAACCACAGAACCCCAAATAGAATCGGAACAGCGCACCGATGTGTATCAATCATATATCCAAAGGTGATATCCGTTCTTTCTTGACCCGGCAAAAAGAATCTAACGCGCAAACCCAGTCTTGTGAAACGTCTGAAGATATCCATTTTTTCTTAACCCAGCAAAAAAGTTCTAACGCGCAAACCCCGTCTTGTGAAACTTCTGAACTGTATGTTCCGTTTATACTTATATGGGTTCTTCATCGATTTGACTAGCCTAATACCAGAATGAGGCACTCAACACGCTCGCAAACCAAGTCCAAGTCATCTGGTACACGGTCTGGCACCCAATTTCGTGAATCGAAAACTCCGCCCAAACAAAATCCCCGCCCCACTGCAAAACGTTCTACAAGAGGCAAAGCTTCCAAGGCCGATACAGGTGTACCTGATCCTTCCCCTCCTCCAGGGGTCATTCAAGAACATGAAGCTCTGGATCCTGAAGACGATCCTCCGGTCAGAGCTCCAACACCTATCCCAGAGGAAGAAGACGATCCTCCTCCTCCTCCTCCATTGAATTGCTCCCCCAACTCTACTACCCCGGCCTCCGGACCTCTTCCACGCTCTAACGTGTTGGAAGCACTTGAGGTGATACGCTCGTATGCCTTAACACAAGAGGGTGAGGTGAACGAGATCACCGAGAGAGTTCAGAAAATCTTAGAGAGAGACTTTACCTTCGCGTGGTGCGGTGTAATTGATGCCGCGACTCGAGAGGACCCCAATGAGGACGACAATTTGACGCTTACTCGTGTCCGGGACAAAGCTGCCCAGTCTTTGTCACTCTCAGTCGGAGAGCTTTCTTCGGTCTTACCTGATGCCGCCGCTGGTGAGGGTTTGTCATTGCGCCATTCTCCTGCGAAACTGCCTAGATGGAGACCTGTTTCTCCGTTGCCCGACGACTTGCACGATGAGGAACAAGAGGAATTGCCACCCATCCGTGGATCCTCTCCCTTGGATGTGTGGCAAAGAAGTGACGGATTCGAATTTCCCGAAGGCGTTACGGAAGATGTGGACAAAGAGAATGCCGAGGGCGACGATACTAGCATCAAGGAAGCTCATACCCGAGCCCATGTGTCTCATCGGAGGAAGACAGTTGGTTCCTACGCTTACGAGCGCTGCGATGATGCCGAGTCTGATTCAGGAGAAAGTGATGATTATGAGAAGACGGAGATAGAGAAGAGGAAGAAGGAAAACCGCGACCGTGTCAGCCGAGGCTTAACCCCACTCCCCTCTTTTGGTGAAGACAAGGACGAGGACGAGGACGAGGACGATGGGGTTGAGGTTGACCCTCCCCTGCGTTCTAGCAAACGTCACTATGGCAACTCGAAAGGTCCCAGTCAAAAAGTGTCGACGACGACCGAATCGGAGTCCCAAGCCAATCCGGTTTCTTCAGACGGGCAAGCAACGAAGTCTGCGACCACCAACGCATCAAGCCGCCAAGCCGCTACAGCGGATGCCAACGAGGAGGAGGATGAAGATGGCCTTTCTGATCCCGACGAGCCTATTGGGAAACCAGGCCCTGTGGATGCTGAAGTCCGTGCTGAGGCTCAGCGTAATTATGAGGAGTACGAGGCTAAGCAGCGGGAGCTAGCTGCAAGGTCAGGCAAGCCCCTCTCAGCTATCTTTTGGGCAGCTGGAGATTCCAGAAAGCTTCTATGCAGCTGGAATCTCTGGAATGTCTGGCAGAAATGGCTGGTGCACGAGGATGGGGGAAAGAAAGAAGGGGAAGTGCCAGAAGCAGGCGAAGGGCAGATCGCTTGGATGAAAAGACGATGGGAGGAAAAACGTCGGGAGGTGTTAGCGGAGGATTGGCAGGACAAGAAGAAGGTTCAGGAAAGTTTCCGGTGGCTCATCGACTGGTATGAGCCATTGTATCAAGCCAGTGCTCTACCAGTAATCCAGAAAGGATTGTCTAAGCGTCAAATGCAGTCGATAGCGGAGGATTTTAACAATAATGTGGGTTCTCATTTTGTCGGTACTCCACTTATGATTTCGATTGACTGGAGTGATTTTTGTAGTGTCGACACGCAAATCGAAACGTCGGCGTGTGTTGTTTCGGCTTCATTGTTGATCTGCACGGTGAACATAGCGTTATGTTTGGTGCAGGGCAGGAATTTGAGGACATGCGTGCCCGCAGCAAAACACAACTCAACCAGTATCTTACCGACGTCGTTGCTCTATTTCGCATCTCGAATGTCAACCTTCGACTGGGTTCAAACGAGAATTCAGATCACCGCATCTTAGCTCAAAATGCAGCTCAAATTCCTCTGAAATCGAACAAGGACGCCCATCGAAAATTCATTCCCTATGTTTTGCGATATGACTTGTGTAAGCTGATTGTTTACTTATGACGCTTTACACAAATAGCTCAATAAATTTATAATAGCGCGAATCGACTCCACTTATAATTGGAAGTCTGGTAAATTCATTTGGAGAGAGTTTGCTGACCTCGCCTGGAAATATCGCGTGCGCCTCGTCAACTGGCATGTCCTGGTCGGCGTTCCAGGAACAACTCTCAAGGACCTGAAAACCAACATACCGGCAAAGATTCTTTACGAAATTGGCGGAGCTCGCCTTAAAGAGCTGCAAGGCCATGCAGAGGCTTATGACGAAGGCAAGGATGAAGCAGATATCATTGTAAAAACCGACAAGAAGGCTTTGAGATTAATTGAATGGACTGAAGGTGTGTTTATACTCTGCCGTGGGTTGATGGCTCCTGTTTGATTGGATTTTCTGTATTACAGAAGAGAAGAAACTTGCGGACGAAGACCAAGGCGAGATCGCAGTGGTGAAAGGAACCAACGGCCAGATGTTGTGTCGGGTCAAAAACTCCGAAAAGTGGGTCAAGGCAATCAACCAAATAGGCAAGGGTAAGGGTAAGAGTAAGGGAAAGCAAACTGCCCGCTCCTCCTCTTCCTCTTCCAGCTCTCAGTCTCGGGTTGGTTCTCAGTCCCGACGTCGCTCCTATTCTCAGTCTCATGCCCAGCCTCGTGCGGAGGCTCGTTCAGCATCCCATTCTCTGACCCCAAAACCTGGCCCCTTACAATACCAACACCAAACCCCCACACGTGGTCGATCCCGAACTCGGTCCAATTTAGTGGACTATCCAAGCTCACCGATTCAAGAAGACCGTGGCCAAGATACTGCCAAGTCTCCAGTTCCAACCACTCCGGTTCCAACCAGTCCACTCCCGCAACCGAAATATGGGATAACTATAGTCAATCGACCCACTCGCGCAGCCGAAACATCTAGAGACCATAGACGCTGGGAGGATCAAAGAAAAAGAGCGGAATGGGTAGCTGATCAGCTGAATGAGGGTTCACACAATAAGTCTGGGGAGCAAAAAAGTCGGGACCGTGGCTTGAACAGAGATGACCAAGGGAAAGATGAGCATAAGAAGAAGAAGCAAAGGCGAGTGTAGGTAGAAGACTACCTATGGAAAAAGAATAGGTGTGATGGAACAGTTACATATAGCACCTGACCTTCGATTACCTCCATACAGATAAATAGTGCTCAATTATTTCTTTCTTTTCTTGACTAGTATCAAATCTTCTATCACTTTCCTATTGCTTCTAGTTGACTACTAGTATAAAATACCCATAGGAATACTATGTAATTTATCAGAATCTTTACCTTGAATTTACTTGTGTATACTTACCTTCGAGAGACTGTAAGAATTACTATCCAATAACTAAGGCTTCATGCTTGGTTAACTGATCAATAATGGAGTAATATTAGCGGTGAAGGCACTATATCACTTAGAATGTATGGTAGGGTTTTACTGATCAAGAACTCATACATGTACTACTTATGAATTTCAAGGTGTCTATCAATCGTATATCACTTTATTAGGGGATTAAGTATCGGAAAGAACCGGTCAGAAATACAAGCACTTTTTATGACAAAATGCATGAAAAAGGTAGGGATTTCGCAGTACACATATGGGAATTCCCAAAGTGCTCCAGACAACTTGGGAATTCCCAAACTGCTCTAGACAATTTGGGAATTCCCAAAGTGCTCCAGACAACTTGGGAATTCCCAGCTGTGTACTGGGAATTCCCAAAGTGCTTCAGCCAACTTGGGAATTCCCAGTACACAGTTGGGAATTCCCAAAGTGCTCTAGACAATTTGGGAATTCCCATTACACAGCTGGGAATTCCCAAAGTGCTCTAGACAATTTGGGAATTCCCAATACACAGCTGGGAATTCCCAAAGTGCTCTAGGACAATTTGGGAATTCCCAATACACAGCTGGGAATTCTACTCCAAAGTGTCCTACACACTTTGGGAATTGCAACGAGTAAAAAGATGTGTGATAATCTAAGCCAATAAGGCTACATACTGGAAATTGGCAATGTATTCTAAAAATCAACACTGATATAATACAAGCCAATCAAGTGCTACATTAGTGAAAATGGTACTGTAGGCTAGAGGTCAACACTGATTTATTACCAGTCTTTCAAGTTCTGCTAGTGCAAATGTAGTGGGGCTAGAGGTCAACACTGATTTATTACCAGTCTTTCAAGTTCTGCTAGTGCAAATGTAGTGGGATTGCCAAAGTATTAAAGTATTTTTTTGAACATTATAGATAGTAATTAAAGTCTATTTTGCTTCTAACTTTTGTTGCAATTCATCCTCACAGGTGGATTTATATTTCGTGGTACTTAACACACTTCATTAGTATAGGAGGAAAAAAATCACGATTCTTTGGAACGAAAGGACAACCCCGGATTTGAACCAAGGACCTCATGCTTTGACCAATTGAAATGAAGTGGTGACCACTGCACCATGTTGTCTCACATACCAGAAACATCATATATATATAAGTAGATTGTACAACCACATTATATATATGTCTATTGATCAAAGTGAGATTAAGATTTAAACATTCCACCTAAGATGGTCTCAAGTAGGTGTGTTTTGAGGGTGCCGGAGTTGATGAGAGGTTGGGATGATTCTGGTATAGTGATTCGATTGGCACTTAAGAAGATTGGAGACGAGAGATTGGGATGATTCTGATATAGTGATTCGATTGGCACTTAAGAAGATTGGAGACGAGAGGTTGGGATGATTCTGATATAGTGATTCGATTGGCACTTAAGGAGATTGGAGATGAGAGGTTGGGATGATTCTGGTGTAGTGATTCGATTGGCATTTAAGAGGAATCCGAGGATTGGAGGAATTGTTAAATAAGGTAATAATGGTTTGAGGAATTGGGCTTAAAACAATAATGCTTTTGATGTATTTCAAGAAATCATGAAACAAATGTACTTATTGCAGATAATGTCAATAAACAATCAAAAAAGTCAGTGTGACATGTGACAAATTCTGGGAATTCCCTTGAGCTCATGGGAATTCCCATGCACTCTGGTAAGAACATGTGGGATTTCCCGGAGGATGTCAGAGGGAATTCCCATGTACTTTTGGGAATTCCCAGTAATTTGGGAAGACCGGGGTTTTTAGGGCCTCTTAGGTGGAGTCTATGCATAAAAAAATGTACCTAAGTAGGTACCCTAGGGAGGGTGCCTGAAGTGGAGAAGAACTGCCATGCAACAGAATTATGGGGTGACGCAATTCACCAATGTTTGGATGATGCCACCTTCCGATATCGATTGGGAAAAGACCCATCCTTATACAGAAAAACATAGATCTGAAGTCACTTGTCGTTTTGATGAAATGTTGCCTAAAATAAAAGAGTATTTGGTTGATCCTGAGAGCAATCTATTCACTGACATGAGTGACAAAGAGAAACCATACTTATTGCGGCAAGCTTCGAAATTCTTTGTGGATAAAGAAGGAAGATTGTTCCGTAGGAAAGAGGAAAGTGATGGACAGCCACTTTTGGTTGTGCCTAAAGAAAAGAGAATGTGGATGATGCATGCTGCGCCTGACAATCTTGGACATAAGGGTACTTTTGCAACAAAAGAAGTAATATCTAGAAGGTTTTGGTGGCCCGATATCAAAAAGGATATCAATTGGTATGTGGGTTCTTGTCAAGCCTGCCAAGATCAGCAGTTACGACTTGTGAAAATACCACCTACAGTCACTTATACACCTGGGTTGTTTCAGAAGATCCATATAGATGTGTTTAAGGTGTCACCTGCGAGTAATGGTTGTAAGAATGTCGTCCATGGAAGATGTGCTCTTTCTAGATGGTCAGAAGGTAGAGCATTGAGAAATGACAATGCAAGATCGATAGCTGAATGGTTCTTTGATGATATCATTTGTAGGTGGGGTTGCCCAGAGGAAATAGTCTCTGATAATGCTCCTCAAATGATAGCGGTCTTAAAATGGCTGGAGGATAAGTATGGGATTAGAGGTATAAGAATCTCACCATATAACTCCCAGGCCAATGGAAAGATAGAACGTGCTCACTTTGATATAAGGCAAGCCCTTGTTAAAGCAACAGGAGGTGACTTATCAAAATGGTATTGGTTTTTGAAGCCTGTACTTTGGGCTGATAGAGTTACAGTAAGAACAGGCCTTGGCTGTTCTCCATACTTCATCACACTAGGTGCGGAACCAATATTGCCACTAGATATTGTCGAATCAACTTGGTTGGTTAAGTTGCCAGATCGGATGTTGACACTAGAAGAACTTATTGGATATCGTGCTCAAGCCTTGGCTAAACATTGAGTACATGTAGAAGATATGATCAAGAGGGTGGATGAAGAGAAAAGAAGAGAACTTAGAAAGTTTGAGAAGAAAAATCGGAACGTTATCAAGGACTGGGACTTCAAACCAGGTGCCTTGGTTCAAGTAAGAAATACAAAGATTGAAAAGAGCCTAGATCGTAAGATGTTCCCTAGATATATTGGGCCTATGATTGTTAGAAGGAGAACCAAAGGAGGTGCCTATATCCTAGCTGAAATGGATGGTGCCGTACTAAGGGAAAAGGTTGCAGCGTTTAGAGTTTTACCCCATCATGCGAGGTATGAGCCGATATCGCTAGTACCCCAAAACATTCATGACTTGATAGATTTGGATGCTGAACAGTTGCGACAAATGGTTGAAAAGGATAGTGATAGTGATGAGCAATGGGACCCTGGCAAAGACTTTGTCTTTGATGCAATTCCAAACTTACGAGTCCCTGAATATGATGATGATAATGAGTTAGTAGAAATCAACAAAGAAAAGGACATTTCTGATTCTGTGGCTGCAGATATCGTTGATCATACTTCCGATATCGACAGTGAACCTGAAGGAAACGGACCCCAGACTAGATCAAACAGAAAGGTGAAGTCCAAAAATCACTAGTATTAGTGATATTGGCTATATGCTATTACAAAATGACTTCAAACGAAGCATGCTATCTATGAACTAATGGCATGTAATAAAGAGAGATTGTGTACCTATGTCAATAGAGTCCATTGAGGTATTAATACCTGGAGAGAGTGACTACTGAATGACCTGATTGGTTGGGAGGAGCTGAGGCAGCGTAAGAACTGCCATGGTTAATCTCGATCTCAGTGAGAGGGTCAGTAGTTTGAACAGGGGTTCCTTCTGCATCACCAATCAAGACCCGGTCTAAGCCCACCCTGACACTTTCGGCATACGAGGTCGTCAGGGACTGATGGTGATTCTTGAGGAATATGATCTGGTGACGGACGCTGAGGATCTCCTGAGAGAGGTAGTTTCGGACAGCGTTGAGTGTCTCCATGGGAAGGTCCGCAAACTTCACAAAGGGCAGCATATTCATTTCCACGAAGATTTGCCCAATCTCCTTCTCGAGCTGCTTCTCCTGCTCTGAAGTAAATTAGAGGGTATTAACTATCGATATCGAATGTAAAACTTACCAGGCTTAGGCTCAGAGAAGTTGCTAGCACTGCCGGCAAAGCGCATGCGCTTGGCAAGTTCGTGGTTCTTTTGCAGAACAGCATTAGCTTTGTGAAAGACTGGAGAAGAGGTGTCCATTCCTGGAAGATCCTGGAAAGGGATACTTACCACGACTGCGCGATTGGAACTGGAACAAGCGGTCTGGGACTAAGTCATAAAGTGATTAGATTGACAGTTTGAATATAGAATAATGCGAGCTTACGCTGCTTGCAATGCGGCGGAACTTAGCTTCCTTAGAGTTAACCTTAGGAGGAGCATGAGTGGAAACCTTGAGACCAGAGGCCATCTATATTGGATGAGTGTGAGTGACGATATTGGACATGCCTCGACATCACCTCCGCTGGTTTCTTTGGAAGTGATGACTTGAACTTCTTCCTCTTCATCATTTTGAACGATGGCGGAAGATTTGACAACCTAGAAAGAGTAAGAATATGGATAATAAAGAAAAAAGGGTACTGTACTTTTTTGCCCTTGGTTCCCTTGCCTTTGGGAACAACGATGGCAGGAGGGGCAGTCAAATGACAATAAAAGTGCTCAATGCCTGTAAAAGCATTGATAATACTGATGTCGCCGCAACCGATAGCAGCCTCAAGAGCTTTAAACCCTTCCTCGTACTTGGCAACGGAGGGAGGGCAAGCTTTAAAAGCGTCAAAAGGAACGTTGCTAGACTAGAAGTAATGATATCGGCATCAGTACCTATGAAGAATAGATTGAATAAAGAGATATACGTACCAAGTGATCAGCGAGAGCGATAGCCTGATTTCTTCGGTTCTTGGAGTCCTGCTTCTCGCACATGCGGAGTACAGCAATGAGGACGGTAGCTTGCTCAATCCAAGGTTCTTGATTGGCAGCAGACCAGTCAGTGGTATTCTGAGTGCTGGGAGTAGAAGACATAGTAGAAAAAGTGAGAGAGTTAGTTGCGATATTGATAGTTAGTCCTGATATCGTCGCTGGCTTTTATATCGCAAAGTGTAGCCTTCGATCTGCCTATATCGGCAAGCCTTAAACTGTAATCATTGAGGGCAATGATTTTTTTTAGTTTGGGGGAGAGGGGTGTACAGTACTTCTCAGATCGAAAAAAAACTCAGCAAAAATTTTACGAGTTTCCAAACAGAATTTGTAAAGCAAAAAGCTGTTAAAGCGATCAAGTAAAGTGTCAAAATGACACGATATCAACAGTAGGATAGTGTTATATCGAATATATGGAGACAAAACCAACGAGATCGAGTGCAATGTCAAGCACTTCTGAGTTTGGCAGGCAGGGGAATTGATGACTTAATAAATTCTCAACCCCTTAGCCATTGATCTTAACTTAATGAGCACGAGATAGACGGCACATTGATATCAATTTGGGCCATACTGGCCATTGGTATACTAAAAACACTGGTACTACAGAGAGTACAACAACAAGAAAATATGGTATATAAAAGTACATGACACAAGATTACAGCAGGGGAAATATAGATAAACGACTATTTGCCTGTTGTAATTTTTTAGCACGTTTACAAATATAGAAGAGAGACAAATTAACTTTCGATTCATACAAGAGGACCTGCGAGGCGTCTGAGTCGGGGAGTTTTTAGGCTTCGACGTCTTCTTCTTGCCTGACGCGGGAGTCAACTTCTTAGATCCAGTACCACGAGACCTCTTAGCTGGAGGCTCGGAACTGGATCGTTCACCGTTGTCTTCTTCCTTGTCATCAGAATCACCTAATAAAGGTAAAGGAGATGAGGAAAGGACCAAGATAGGGAAAAGAAATAGAAGAATAAAGACATACCTTGACCACCAGAGTTGGAAGGTCCAGCCTCTGGAGCGGCAGGAGTAGCCAAGTTGTTGGCATAAGTCAAGCTCGCCCAAGACTGGATCTCTTTGAGAATACGGTCTCGATCCGAGTCTACTTCGACAAACTTATACTCGCCGGTTTCGGGGTCGATGAAGAACTTCTGACGGATAGAGTTTT